AACTGGTTCGCTAAATTTCGAACCGGCAATTTTGATGTCGAAGATGCACCACGTTCGGGAAGGCCGGTTGAAGCTGATAAAGACGCGATAAAGGCATTAGTTGATGTGAACCGGCGAATAACAACACGTGAGATCGGATTGAGGTTAAATTTATCAAATTCAACAGTTTATGACCACTTGAAAGGCCTGGGATTATCCTCGAAGCTCGATGTATGGGTTCCCCATGTTCTCACAGAGAGAAATCTGTGTCGCCGCATTGACGTCTGCGATTCGCTTCTCAAACGTCACGAAAATGATCCGTTTTTGAAGCGCATCATCACTGGGGACGAAAAATGGGTTGTATACAACAACGTCAAACGCAAGAGGTCATGGAGCAAAAAAGATGAACCGGCTCAAACCATTTCCAAAGCCGATATTCACCAAAAAAAGGTGATGCTGTCTGTTTGGTGGGATTTTAAAGGAATCGTTTTTTTTTAGCTTTTACCGGATAACACAACGATTAATTCGGAAGTCTACTGTCATCAGCTGGACAAACTGAATGATGCACTTCAACAGAAAAGGTCAGAACTAATCAACAGGAAAGGTGTAGTGTTTCACCAAGACAACGCGAGACCTCACACAAGTTTGGTCACTCGCCAAAAGCTTTTACAGCTTGAATGGGATACAATGCTACACCCACCATATTCTCCAGACCTGGCACCATCGGATTATTATTTGTTCCGGTCACTCCAAAATTTTTTAGACGGTAAAACCTTCACCTCAAATGAGGAGGTCAAAAACCTCCTCGATCAGTTTTTTGCCAGCAAAGACCAAAAATTTTATGAGCGTGGAATTATGCTACTACCAGAAAGATGGCAAAAGGTGTTGGACCAGAACGGTCAATATATAATTTAATAAAGTATTTGTTTATTATACGAAAACTGTCTTTCATTTCCACAAAAAAAAACGAAATGACTTTCCGAACAACCCTATATTACTATAAAATATGTCAGTATAAATTAAATTAAAAAGTAACGACCCATAAGATTCTTAATTGCCTCTACCAACCGTGACGCGATTTTAAACTACAAAAACTTCTTCCAGTAGATATAAGGACACGGGTTCGTAATAAGGAGTCGGTTTATCACGTTCAGCAATGCGCGAAAAAATAAGTACAATGGACCTACAGGATAAAAGGACGAAAAAGGCTAATTGGGTCTACTATTCCAACACATACGTATGTATATGACGGATACCCCCCCATGTTCTTCCGTACAAAAGGATTAAAAAGCGTTAAGAATTCTTCGGTGACATTCGAATAATCCGAACGATTGGACTGTAACAGATCGTTTGATCAATTATACGAATACGAGTGGAAAGAAAAGTTTAATTGTCTTTGATAACGGCGTCTTGACGTCGCTTTTCAGAGTTTGAAACAGATTTAATTGTGCGAGAGAATCTGCAAAAATTTCTTACATTTTTTCTTCACATCGTCAAGCAAGAAACTAGTCATTTGGATAATAAGGGATTTTAGCGGATTTTTTTGGTTACTGTTGTCCGCGAAGATAAGACTTGTGAAAAAATCGTTTTAACGGAAGATCTGAAGAGCTACAGGACATATTGTGAGCCAATCTTCACATTTTCGGAAAACCAGAAAAATCCCTATTTTAAACTATTTGTTAACAGTAATCTATCTAATCCAGGTCTTCTCCATCTACTCCTTTATAATCCTGTTTTTCTGCTTCTAATAAGCCTTTAACTAATTAGCTGTTCATGTCTCAAAAATGTCCTATCGTCTTATATCTCCATTTCCTTGTCGATTTCCAGAGTCCTCAGCAGTTCTACCTCCTTCAGTCCATGGGCTGCAACATTCGCAGTAAATCTCTGATCTCAAATTAATAGACTTTAGAAGTTTTTGATGTTCAAAAAGTTATTCATCATCATCATCATAAGGTCATCAGTCCTAAGACTGGTTGGACACGTACCTCCACTCTTTCCTATCCTGAGCTAAACTTCGCATTTCCCTAAAACTAGAACAGCCCACATCCTTAACTATTTGCGAACAGTAATCTAATCTAGGTCTACCTCTACCCCTCCTAACTCCTGTTTCTGCCTCTAATATGTCTCTGACTAGACCTTCATGCCTGAGAAGGTGTCCTACCAACCTATCTCGCCTATTTTTTATTGACTTCCATAGAGTCCTCTGTTCTCCTATTCTTTCCAATACCTCTTCATTTCTAACCTTTTCTACCCACGATATCCTCATCATCCGCCTATAACACCACATTTCGAACGCTTCTAACCTTTTCTTTTCCGCCGCTCCCACTGTCCATGTTTCGCACCCGTACAACGCCGTGCTCCAAACATACACCTTTAACAACCTTTTTCGAATTTCTAAATTAACCGTTCGCGAGCATAGAAGTGACTTCTTTTTATTAAAGGCGACACGACCCTGCGCTATCCTCTGCTTTATATCCCTACTACTCCTTCCATCCTCACTTATCTGACTTCCTAGGTATCTAAAATCAGCCACTTCTTCTAATTTTTCGTCTCCTATCTTTATATTCGCTCTTTCCCTACTTTTTCTTCCCTTGCATATCAGTATTTTAGTTTTACTTTTATTTATTTTCATACAGTACTGATCTGTCAGTACCGCTTCCATTTTATTTAAAGCTATCTCTAGGTCCTCCTTGCTAGATGCTAATACTGCTATATCATCTGCAAGTCTAAGCATACTAATCTTTTGTTATTGTGAATAAATTATTAATTGTATTATCAGTTTTTTTATATCTACTAGATACTGCAACTTGTTTTTGTTCGTGTATCTGAGAAATTAGGATTTTCGTTATGGATGACGAATAGTTGAAAATTTGATGGGAGCCTCCGGGAGATGATGTGCGTCCCGGCGTCGACGGCGTCGTTGTCGTCGCGGAGGTGGCGCCTGATGGAGGGGCGGGACCGCCCCGCGAAGAGGAACTTCCACTTGCAATATTGCTTCCTGCCCCATTCCTGGCGACGCCGCAACGTGTCCTGCCACAGAAACTCCTCACAGCTTCCTGTGACCTTCCTCCGGGAATACACCGGACACGTTTTGCAACACTTCAAGAGGACGGACGACCGACCAGGTGTTATCGTTCTCATCCTGTCTGTCTTTCACTTCCGGTTACTCAACTGTCATTCGACATTCTGACCGGACTCTTTATTAATTATCATCTAATCGCGAAATTGGAAGTCATGTTATATGTACCTAGGAATATTTTTTCCTTTTGCTAAAACGTTCGGTGCTCGTTTTCCGACTGGGGGGGTGTTTTTCCCCGTTCCGGGTGGTGTTTGTTGTGTGTAAGGTGTTCTGATGTCGCCGAAAATCGAACCAGGCGGTCACAAAACACTGGCATGCGCAACTACAAAGACCAATAGCGATTTCGTCACATTCTTTAAAGGTAATATATGCACATGTGTGTTTGTTTGGTTTTTTCTACTCTAGATCGAAATTGTACAGATCTTGTCATCGTGAAGTCCTAACTACAGTAGAACCTCGATAAGATAAAGACCGAGCGAAACGTAAAATAATTTGAGTTATTGAGGTTTTTACTTACTAAGGGTTTGAGTTTAAGTTTTAAAATTATGGATTTCCAGAGACTTTTCAGCTTTTCCTTTAGTATGGGTCCACTAACATTAATGTATTTACATATTTCTACACTGTCTAACCATGTAAACAGGTTTCTAAATTACGAAATTCAGCAATTCTTCGATTTTTACATAGAAGAGTTTCTCTCGATTCAAACCGCTTCTCACTGCTTGTTGAGATGCGATGCCCAAATTATTCGTTTAAGTTATAGAGGGTTTTTATTTTAAGTAAGAGAGGTTTTGGACTCCGAGGGGAAGGGAACACAAAATTTTATGAATTTATAGAGGTTATTACGTTATCGAGGTGTTACTGTAATATTATAAATGCGAATGTGTTTGATTTGTTTGTTACGTTTTCACACCTTAACTGCTCAATCAATCATCATGAAATTTTGTACGCTTATTGTCAAGGGTACAGAAAAGGACATAGGGTACCGTTTATCAATAAAAAAACTACTGTTCCTGAGGGATAGGAAAATTAGTTTTAGGTGGTCGTCGATAATTTTAATACGTATTTAACGAAATTTGTAACACCTACCAAAGAATCAAACTGGGATTTTTTTATATATCTTACTGTGCAAACCCGATTTTAGGATAGAGTCTAGTATTGCCTAGAACAGAAATTAGTAAAAAATAAATACGATATTGTTTATTTAGATTATCCCGATTTGAAATTTAACAGCCAGTTTCGCCTATCAAACTGGTTTTACCTAGACAGAACAAGTTTATCCTGAATTCGGGTTTATTTGGTTTATCCTTTGGAGTAGGTCAAACTGGTTCATCATTTTTTAAGACTTCTTTTCTGTACAACTATTAGGGGGACACTCAAAATTTCGTACGTCTAGATATGTCCACATTTATTATTTATTAATTAACGATTTTTTCTTCTTAAAATAAAATTTTGTTTAATCATAAATTAGTGACAGAGAATCATTACCCTTTTCTGAATATAATCCCTGCCAATTAGTGGTTGTACGCTGACGTGAGATATAAAATATTAAATATTCATTTTATTTTACACATTATCGATAATTTTTGGTGCTTTTTCGTTGTATTATTCTCTCAAGTACATAGACATATTTATGCAAATGTAAATGTGTCATTTTCTTGGTCGCATTCGCTAATTCGCACAATTCCTTACATAACTCTGTTATCGTCTAAAAATAAATTTGGTAAAACGGCGCATAATGAAATGAGGGAGTTCTTCCTGTGGTTAATTGAAACGGAAGTGGATAATCGAGAGGCTGGACTTGCACACTTAGGTAGTGTTCCATGTATACGTACAACACAAACACACGACTACACCGTGTAACATCTATCTCTAAATACATATATGTAGATACAACAATGTTATCGTATCTGACAAAGCATCCAAACGTGCGCCTAGAATGATAACGAATCTTGAACTTAAGTTTCTTTTTGCCGAAATACGAGTCCCATATGTTTATCCTAAGGGACTAACGAACAAGTGTATCGGGGAACAACTTTAAACATTTTGGCACCTAATATATTCGATAATACAACGAGTATGAGGTAAGAAGAACTAAACTAGATGCGAATTTTTATCTATGCAACTGAAGAGATGTTAAGTTAATTTACGTTAGTATTATAAAAAAATTCTTACAATCAATTGTACTAATTTTCATTCTTAGTGGAACAATTTTCATTTAGAGAAGTATGAGTTAAGGATATATAATTAAAACCTTGAAAACTTTACAATTTCCAAAAAATTAACATCTTTCTCTTTCTTTTTTTTTAAAATTTGATATTGAATTATTAGTAGGCAAATATTTATGGACTATTTTTCTAGACAATTTTTTTAAAAGCCATTCAATAACTTCGTAAAAATTTAGAAACCCATTTTTTAATTAATAATTTTAATATTCATTTTAGTGGTTATATTTCTACGATTTTTAAAAATTTAAGGTGGCTTTAACAAATTTTTAATCAATTTAACATGGCGCCCCCCTGCCACCCCTGTCCCACCCTCTTTTATGTGTACATACAAAACAAAGCCTATCATTCTCTTAAACTGCACACTATTTTCGATATTTATCAACATAATTGCGACACGTTCAAGTGAATGATTTCGAGACTGCGAACGAATGAGGAAGTGGGCAGTTAAAGATGTCTCTGTTTTACAGGAAAAAGTGCTTGCTAAGGAAAAGGATGTACGAGAGTTCCTGTTCTTATCCTCAATTAGGACAGACGCAGGACCTTAAGTTCCCGACGACAATAAAAACCGAAGAGTTCTCGCCGTCCCAGGACTCGTGGCCTTACAGGTTCAGCACGTTCGAACAACTAAAGCAGAGCGTCGAAAAGGCCAAGGCTGCCTTGCAGGTCAGACAAAAAAATATTTCAATTTTCACAGTGTTCTTTTTGACTTTAACAGATATCTTTGCAACTTGTACTATTTAGAAACCAATTAGTTCTTTTACTTTGAATAAGCCAATTTATTCTATATTCATTTGAAATCATTTTTTCGATTTTTTATTTACCCACTACAAACTACCTCAAATTAATGAGGGAAAAATTGTTGATGTCACAGCCCCGCCGGGAATCGAACCCGGGACGTTTGGCTTTACGCACTAATGAACAACGCCAAAGGTCCCCGGTTCGATTCCCGGCGAGGGTGTGACAACAGTAACAATTTTTCCCTCATTAATTTGAGGTAGTTTGTAGTGGGTAAATAAAAAATCGAAAAAATAATTTCAAATTAATATTGCATATTAATCCATTATTAAGTAACTAGCAATGTCATAGGATTTCATATATTTAATCTATTTATTCTATCTGTAGAAAAATAAAAAAATAATATCCTTAGAGATTAATGAAAGTTAATGCCAAGGTCTACACCCCCAGTCCACAATGCTTCGTCCATCGATATCAAAAAGGGTGTAGACGTGCACATATTTATGTAATATCAAGAGGAAGACATTTTACTGTTTTTCCTTATTATTAAACATTCAATTGGAAAGTTGCTATACCGTGTGTATTTGCTTTTCGTTAAACATTTTCCATTTATTTTTCCAGGATAGAGGAGGATTTTTCAGTGGAAGCAGTGCTTTCAGTGAACTGTATGGAACTGTGCCTGCGTCTGGATTTGATACTTCCCGTCTCAGAAATTCAAACGAAAGCAAAAGAAATGCACAAGGTAAGTAATACATTATGTATTTAAATGCACTTTATGAACATACTAGTTGAACCCGTCCAAATAAAGACGGAGGGATACCGTTGTCGATTTTAATCATGGCGATTCGCCATCTAACCCCTTGGTGTATTGCATATTTTATCAGAGAAACATGCAAATCAATCAAAATCTTCTGCTATGCCACAAATTAAAAATATTATTAAGTGATAGGTAATAGTTGAAATCAGTAGACCTGGCGTCTATTTCGAAAGTGTAGGCCATTTTCTTTGTATATTCATAGACATCTAATTCCACATGTCCTATAATTGGAGGAGACAGTTGCACTGATTTCAATGACGAACATGCCTGCACTTATTGGCATATTAGTAAATGACTACATACGATAAATTATTTGGACATTCCTTGGTTTTGAGTAAAATAAATATTAATCAAAAGGATTTCGGTAGGTTAACAATTTAGATGTTTTTTGTAGTTTCAATTTCAAACGAAACGTAATTACTCAAACAGAATTACATTCCAAATAAGTTTTCTGTTTAAGAAAACGTCAACAACACAATTTTCTGTTCAAAATTCAAGTGCAGTTTCATATATTATTAAATAATTTTAGTTTAATTCGTCGCTGATCTTCATTGTTCGGCTCGAAGGACCAAAATGTTAGAGTGAAGTGAATTAGTATTATTAATCACTATCACTAAATCATACGAGTATTAATATAATTTATTTATTTTGTTCGTTCTCCCACTTCTTTCTTGAACGTTCTATAATAAGTAATGCTTTGCTTTACTTAACAATCTCCTTCAAATTAAGAGTAAAATAATTCGTTGGTACCGACGAAAAGGTCGCTAGGTGTTTTCTCGCGGTTGCCATGGCCTCTTGTCTGAGAGCTGATGCATCTGCGCACGTACCCAAAGCATCCCTTGTAATCCCTAATACGTAATCTGCCCTTCGATGGCGTCTAATCTGGAAAGGAAGACGAAACAGCCAATGACACGACGTCGTCTATATCGCGGGGAGTTACACTGTGGCGAAGATGCACAAGTCGGAAATGACGACGCGACGTCGCTGGCGTCGGCAAGCGAAACTTTTCCCTGTCGCCTATCTCGCCACCCCCGTGGGGTACCCAAGAAAATCTATTATAAGCGGTACGATAACGTTAGGGCTATTATTACGATTATGACACCCGGGACGAAGGGGATGAAAAAAGATACGGCGCGAAAAGGGTCCTCGACCAAAATTTGTATGTATTATGGCTTTAGAACCCCCAAGATCAAATGAGTTCTCTCACAGAAGTGCATTCGATGTGGTTTTGTGAACCATTCGTAAAGTTATCATCCAATATACCAAATTCACTCTTTCTGAAATGTAAAATGTGCCTATATATAAATGGACGAGTACTGATCTTTTAAGGGTTCTATATACTCTTCCTCAAGAAGACATATTGAATATTAAGGGTTCTATAAACTCTTCCATGAGTTCAGGCACAGAATAGTTGCAAACTAAGTTTTTGAAATAATTAGGACATTTGTTCAACTTCTGACCTTTCTACACCATCAGTCTTCGTCATTGTTTAATAGGCATCCCTTATATTCATACTATAAAAATTCATCCCTGTATATTTCTCATACCTATTACACTTTTCCTACCTAGTGACTCATCGAAGTTAAACATTGTCAGCATTAGCGTAAGTCCAAAGTGTTTTGTTACAAAACACCTGCTGATGTTGGCACCTAATANATTAAGGGTTCTATATACTCTTCCTCAAGAAGACATATTGAATATTAAGGGTACTATATACTCTTCCTCAAGAAGACATATTGAATATTAAGGGTCTATATACTCTTCCTTAAGAAGACATATTGAATATTAAGGGTTCTATATACTCTTCCTCAAGAAGATATATTGAATATTAAGGGTTCTACATACTCTTCCTCAAGAAGACATATTGAATATTAAGGGTACTATATACTCTTCCTCAAGAAGACATATTGAACCCTTCAAGACAAATTTCTTAATTTAAAGCTTTTTAATCGCTTACCTTCTGATTAATCTTTAATTATTCAACACGCCTGTTCTGAACCAAGAGGATTTTTTTCGTTTTTTTTTCGGGCTTAAAAAAAAGTCACCTGCTAGATACGATTTCTTGCGACGATCCCTAACAATGGCAAGAAGGAATAAAAGCTGGGAGTTTTGTAAAAAGAAAAGTCAGGATAACAAAAAAAAAAGAAGAATAAGTATGCAAAGCTTCCTGATCGGGACAGGGAATAAGAATGGGGTCGTGTTACAAAAGAACACACAGAAAGCTGTGGCCACCGAGGAGATGTCCTTTTGCCAGGATAATTTTAAATAATAAAAGATTCTGAATCCGAGCTCTATCATTTACATTTATTATACGCGAGTCACCGCCAAGGAATGCAATTACCATAAAGAGGTAAAAAGGGGATGAATTTTAAGAATGCTACCAACAAAAAAAAGATCAAAGCTCTAGCACGTTATCTAGAAAAAACTAGATTTTTTTAATGAATTTATTATCAACAAACCAATTAATCTTAATGAATAAAAAGAAAGACAATGAATTTTGCAATTACATTGGGCCGTACTACACGTACAGGCGGACAGACAGATAAACGATGATGAAGCTGCAGTTCTGAACGTAATGTATTAAAAGCAGGAAAGATAATAATAAATGGGGAGTCGAGGGGTAGCTTCATGCCCGGCACGCCCCACTGGTTAGCGGGTGCCTTTAATTGATATATTGGCTAGTTTTGCCGCCGCCGTTGTCGACTGCGATTCCACCCGCTGTAAAAACTTCTATAACGACGATTTATTACGAAGAGATCGGGCAAGTCGTTGACGGGTGGGACCCGAGAGGGTGAAAGGGCAAACGACGGCCGACAAGAACAATAAATTCTTCCTATATACACTGGTAAACGCATGCACATGCACCACCCCATTTAAAATGTGATTTAAGTTAGTTTTGGTGTATATTTTTCTTTTTTTATTCACGACAAAGTCGTTGACTAAAATATTGATTGGACACGCACCTCCACTCCTTATTATCCTGAAACAATCTTCACATTTCTGGAAAAGTAAAACATCCCACACAACCCTCCACTACTTTCAGGCATTCAATCTAGGACTTCCTCAATTCCTATTTATTCCTATTTCTGTTTCTATATTAGGCACTCTTGCCTTAAAAGCCTACATCTCATTTTCTGTTCTTGTCATTACCAATATCTCTTGTTTCTAATATGCACTACAATTTGTCATTACCAAATCTAAATTTTGTCACTGCAGCCGGTTACTGGACAAAAGACGAAATGTCTGCCTGTTTTCAAGCTAGCAGTACACATAGCCTATTTCGAAATGGTGTAGCAAAACGCTATAAAAGTTATATTTTGTCATTGAAAGATGGTACGCCGCCAAACTAGCACTAGAAAAATATTATTTGTCACTAAAAAATTTGTTGTGAGTTTACCCTTCAACTGATCAGGGAAAAATACCTGGAGCTAAGCTGGCACTAAACATAGCGTACCTTGGAGAGAAATGTTGTAAAAAAATACCGTAGCGGCTATAATTTGTCGCTGAAAGATTGTACTTCTGCCAATTTTGTTCCTAGCCTTTCCTGTAGCTGCCCAAGGAAAAACAACTGGAGCCGTTAAGCTGGCACGACTCAAGATGCATCTCTAAATTGAAATGGCATAGAAAAATATTTTAAGGACTACTATTTGTCGCTGAAAATTTTGTCGTGAGTTCACACTTCAGTTGATCAGGGAAAAACAACTGGAGCCATCAAACTGGCACGACTCAAGATGCATCTCGAAATTGAAATGGCATAGAAAAATATTTTAAGGACTACTATTTGTCGCTGAAAGTTTTGTTGTAAATTCACACTTTATTAGCTGATCAGGGAAAAACGATTCGACAGGCTGGCATTAAAAATATTTTAAGGGCTACTATTTGTCGCTGAAAAATTTGTCGTGGGTTCACCTTTTAGCTGATCAGGGAAAAACAACTCGAGAGCCGCTAAGCTGGCACTAAACATAGCGTATCTTGAAAAGAAATGGTGTAGAAAAATACCGCAACAGCTATAATTTGTAGCTTAAATATGGTACTTTTACCTATTTTGTCGCTTGTCCATTCTCCAGTTGTCTAGGGAAAAACGACAGGAGCAACCAAACTGACACGACTCATGGCGCATTTTGAAATTGAAATGTCATAGAAAAATATTCTAAAGGCTACTATTTGTCGCTGAAAAGTTTGTCGAAAGTTCATCGTCTAACCGATCAGCGACAAAAGATTGGGGAGTCGCTAAGCTGGCACTACACAACGTATCCCGAAATAGAAATATCGTAGAAAAATAATGACAAATTGTGGTCCTTACAGACTATTATGTGTGGTGTGAGCTTGACGGTTCTCCAAACGTTTTTCGCTGGTCAGCTAGAGGTTCGACTTACGACAAAATGGATTAAAGTACTATCTTTCACCAACAAATTAATTAAAAATTATAGCTCTTACAGTAGCAATATCAGTTTATTATGAAGTAGCATTTCGTCTGTGCTGTTGGAGCGACAAATTTTGGGATTTGACAACAAACTAGCGACAAATTATGATGCACTTTAAAAATGCTAGCCCGATATATGTCAATACTGCCTCAATTCTGAGCCTTTCGGTTCAACGATCGCGAATTAATGACACACGGTATCAGTTAGTTAGTCCATTCGCATCGGCAGTCTATCGACAATCGATCCCTTTGGTTTCCATCTTTCCCGTTCGAATTGATAGCGGAGTTCTTCCGGCGACTAATTGACGTGTGCCCAATGATTGATACGACGCGTCCGGTCGCCATGCTGGATTCGCGGCTTAATTGCGACCGACGCTGGCATCGGGACGCCCACGACCTTTGATCCTCACCACCGTCAGACGATAGTTATTTGTTTACTTCTCGCGAAACCTGTCACCTTTCCTCATCCCTTTATTTAATCGATTATTAAAAAATTAACTGG